GCGACGAAAATCTAACCTACATGCTTTCCCCCTGCCGCGCTGCCTGCCCCGCAGCGGGACACTGACCAACCTCCTTAATTGTTATTGGAATTCTATTCTTCTCTTACTTGTGTGGAGATCTTTCAGCTTCAATTCTTGCTCTTTGTTGACGAAGAATCTCTAATAAATGACCTCTCTCAAATGAGTTAAACTTCTAAGCTGATTATTAATAGGCTGATGAGAAGGACTTATCCCTCTGCCAAAACTTCTAGCCTGATTGTGAGTGTTATTATCAATATATTGAAAAGGTCGTATAATAGCCACTGGAGTATTTTTCTTGCAGTCATCACATTTAAACGAATATAAAGGAAACTGCACAAGAAAAATAAAATAGTAACAAAATATACAATAAAATAATAACAAATCTAATGTTATTAATACAAATAATAAAGTTATCTTTAGTTGATGAGGCATATCACAATTTGCGCACGATATATCCATATTGGAAAATTGTTAATTTACCACTGGATACTGCAACGTCGAAGCAAGTACATGTATAAACAATAAATATATACATGTATATGGGGCATTCCATGCCAAATCACCTAGGATTTTCCTCGACCATTTTTTATTTGGCGAAAATTTTTTTGATTTTATACTAAATGAAAGTAGCTTCCATGATTCTTTTTAGATTTTTATCTCTACCCATACTTAAGTTATGGATTAAAAAAAAATGCAGTTTTTTAAATGCCTGTAACTTTAAGAAGAAAAAAGATATTTTAAAAAATGAGGTAGGGTAGACCGGGGCACGTGGTCACACATTTGGTTCAATATTTTTTGTATTTTTTACATTCAACTAGACACTATAGACGCGCGCTTTGCGCGCGCTATTTAGCTTTAACATTATGCTATTACTATTACACTATTAACCCTTGATACACACAACTGTCAAAATAATGACAGCTGCAAATGAAGTAAGCGCAGCAAGAGAACCAATCGGCATCGCGGAAAAGTGACAACAATACCTACGACATCCCCTTTTTAGAAGAGGACTAGACACTACAGACGCGCGCTACGCGCGCGCTATTTATCTTTAACATTTCACTATTAACCCTATTATACACAACTGTCAAAATATACAATGACAGCTGCAAATGAAGTAAGCGCAGCAAGAAAACCAATCGGCATCGCGGAAAAGCGGCAACAATAAACTTCACATCTCTTTTTTAGAAAAGGACTAGAACAACACAGGCGCGCGCTACGCGCGCGCTTTTATTTTATTTCAAAAATGGAACAACACAGGCGCGCGCTACGCGCGCGCGTTTATTTTGTTTCACGAATATACAACCATACATTTTTTATATTTTTATTAGAAGTGAAGAGGTAAGTCGCTAATATCGACATAGGTCCTCTAAAGCGACGCCTTCTTATTTCTCGAAAACTAAACACCGCACTTTATTAATGCTGATGAGGACATAATTTACTTATATAATTAAAGACGTAAAAACCTTTACTTTATACATTTATTGATTTTTATATATAAAATCTGCTAAAAACGAATCATTCAAAAGCAATTATTAAAAATAAAATTTACCCAAATCTCTTTTACTAATTGTACAGTTAAATAATAATAAATATATATTATTGATAATATTAGATTATTTTACATGTTTGTGTAACGTCCTAAAACTATTTAAATTTTTTTTTATTTTTCTTATATATATATAATGCAGTTTTATATTTAAATATAAAATTGAGATGCAACGTAAACTGGCATACTTATTGATAAAACAGATTATAAGGTAGTAAAAATCAAATAGAATGGAATAAGAAACACAGCACAAAAAGATCTTGCTGCGAAATTATGAGATAAATTTACTGGCATGCTGTCGGCATACTGCCAACATTTTGCTACGTGGGGTAAAACAATTGTGAAGCAACACACAGTAACAGACTACGAAGGTAGAAAACAAAAGGTTTCGAGTTTAAATCCTGATCGACTCTGTTAATTTTTCCGTTTACCCCTCTCGCAGTCCAAAATTTCCTTCTGTATCTTTCCTCCACCCTCACTACACTCCTTGTTTACTCGTATATTTCCATGATCCTCTTTCCCAACCTTTCACTCACCCCTGGTTTTTCCAGACATCTTCCCAAAACCCTCCTGTCCACTGAATCAAATGCCGCCCTTGGATCTACAAAAGCAGCCACTACCTTCTTTTTCCTCTTTAATCGCTTCCTTATCGCATAATTAAGTGCGTAAATGTTGTCCACCACTCCTCTCTTCTTCCTAAACTCTGCTTGGTTTTCTGAAATCATCCCCTTCTCCACTATCTCTTTCCTCAACCTATTTGCTAATATCGACGCGTACACTTTGTACGCCGTCGGCATCAGCGTAATCCCTCTATGCTCACTCACCCCTTTTGCCTCTTTTTTTCGCTATCGGAACGACTACTCCGTCCTTTCACGCTTCTGGAAAACACTCTCTTTTCCATACTCTCCCATAACGTTTTTCTTAAACCACTTCCCTCATAACTCCACACTTCATTTCCTATCTCGTCCTCTCCCGCCGCTTTACCTTTTTTCAGCCCTTTCAGCACTCTCTCTACTTCCTCCCATTCTATCTTCTTCTCTTTCTTTACTTTCCCCTCCAACCCCTGCTCTCCCTCCTCTCTTTCTCCTAGCCTTCGTTTGTATTCCGCTCTTTCTAACATCTCCCTAAAGTATTCATCCCACTCCTCTAATGTTATCTCCTTATTAATTTTTACCTTTCTTCTCCTTTCCTTGTTTATTACTTCCCACACCTGCTTCTCTGTTCTCGCCTCTCTTGCTTCTTTCAGCAGATTTTTCTTTTTTCTTCATTTTTTCTCACACATTTCCTTATACTCCTTCTTTCTTCTCTTATGATCTTTGTGTTTTCTTCCTTTTTTCCAGTCTCTTAATAACTTTTTTACCTTCTCCCTCTTCTTCCTACAATCCCCATCCCACCATACTCCCTTTCTTTCTGCCCCTCTTTTTACTCTTCTCACCCTTACTTCCATCTTCTTCTTTATCTATTGTCTCCCTACCTATTTCTACCTCCTCCGTCCTTCTTCTAAACTCCTCTCTTACTTCTTTCGACCAATCCGTCTTTTTCACCCACCTCTCTCCCTCCGCTATTGTCCCTCTCCTCTCACCAACCCCCCCCTTTGTCCACCCGTACTGCTACGGATTGGTGATCCGAATCTACCTCACACCCCATATCCAATCTTGTCACTCTTTCCCAAGCTTTTCTATCTCCTATTGCGTAATTGCATGATCACTGTTTCCCCCTTCCTCCTGTAAAAGTCACCTCCCCCTTCTCATCTCCCTCTTTTGCTCCGTTCATAATTTCCCATCCTTCCTCTTCCATCCATCTAATCAGCCCTTCCTCCTACCTATTTATTATTTTATCTTTCGATTTTTTTTCAACTCCCTCTTCTCCATCCTCCAGCGCTCCTTTCTCCCCTGTTCTCGCATTGAAATCGCCCACCACTATCCATCTCTCCTCTCTCCTTTCCTCCTCTTTCACCGATTTTATCTTACCCATGATCTTGTCCAAGTTGCCGCTTACGTAAACTGTTGCCAATCTCCATTTCTCCTTCTTCCATCTTACTTTTCTAATCATTGAACCCTCCTTCTCCTCCCATTCTTCTTCCTCTTCTAACCCTTTTCTGACTCGCATCATTATTCCACGTATTGCTCTTCCTTTTCTTCCAACTCTTTCTTTCTTTGCACCCTGTTGAACTTCTTTGGCACCCTATTCTTCATCTTCTCCCATTCCTCCTGTTCCAGCTACGTCTCTACCAACCTCACGACATCCCACTCTTTTATCTTTTCCCAAAACCCTTCCTGTTTTCCCTTCACTCCAATCAACGCAGAGTGTTGATAAGAAGAGTGTTGAACTCAACAATTGTATCTGCTAAACGCGCAAATTGTCATGGAGGGAACCCGGGGCACAGTATAAAGCCTCTTGCACAATGTCAAGCAACAGACAATAGAAACAAGGAATAGAAATCAGAAATCATGTATAAATGCAGTATAAACAATGATACATTCCGTCACGTTGGAAACTCTGTGCCTATTGCTTGTTGTCAACCAGTCATAGCATTCAAATTTTTTAGGTTGTAATTGTAACGATTTTTTGGTTATTTCCTGTTCCTATTGCCCTGTTGCCTGGCATTTGTGCAAGGGGCTTAATCAGTATGTTCACTCTCTGTCGGCACCTTTCATCTTTTGGTTTCCGATTTTCCGCCATGTTTCTCGGTGGACCATCGACGTATCAACGGTTAAAGGGCCTCGGGTTGTACCTATACAAGTAACACTACCCAAATGTCATACGCCGATTTTTTTGAAACTATGCACACATGTAAAACTTCGAAAAATATTTGTGTCGTGTTTTTTAATTTTTGCTTATGAAGCGTTTAGAGTAGAAACTACCCCCGAAATATTAACCTTCTCAATTCTATGTATAACAATTCTTTAGGCCATGCACGTCGATTTGTTGTAAAAATACGAACCAGAAAACCTTGAAAATTCCTAGAGATAGTATTCTGGTGCAAAAACCATTTAGGATAACGTATATAGGATTGAGAAGGTTAATATTTCAAGGATAGTCCCTACTCTTAAAACGCTTCATAAGCAAAAATAAAAAATACGACAAAAATATTTTTCGAAGTTCTACATGTGTATACAATTTCAAAAAAAATGGCCTGTGACACTTGAGTAGTGTTACTTGTTAGATGTGCAAAAAAACTGTATACATTATTCACTCTTATTAGGAATGGCCTAGGTAGAAGCACAATAAAAGATTATATATAAATGTGCGATTACTGAATAGCAATGTTTCGATGAATTGCTCGAATGCTAATTATATCTGAAATAACTATTATAAATTATAAAATTAAAGTGGAAAATTATAAAAAAAATAGTCTAAATATTATTTATTGTTAAAAATTTTATATTCGTAGTAAAGTTTAATTAAAATTAATAATACAAAAATAATATAATTTTTGTAAATTTACATTTATTCTGTTCTATTTACAGTTATCTGTACAGCGATATATACATATTTGTTTAATACATTTACATGTATACATTTCATATGTTTACATATACGGCGGTATTCATTCGTGTTTCCAAATTTTCTGTATCGTATCAATTTCTTTTTTATGCGCTTCGCATAAAGCCTCATCCGGTTTTGAGAATCAGACTTATTATTCATGCCTCTATAAGTGTACAATATATTCTGAAACCGAAATGTAAAAAAAATTCTTAATTACTAAAATACAATTATGATAACGTATTTCACTACATGTATTTCACACAATATAATATTTACCTGTACACAATAGTGAGACGCGTTGATTCTTTCTGTAGATTTGTTGTTTATCATTTCCAAACACCAAGACATACCGACATTTTCATAACGGATGTTATGAAAATTTTTGATTACAAAGATGTAATCAAGGAAAAAGAGATGTTTAAAACAATACTCTTTCCCAATCCCCAATTCTCAATCCCCAATCCTCAATCCCCAATCCTCAATCCCCAATCCCCAATTGTGTATTTATGTATTGTATGTGTGTAATATGTCATTGTGTGTGTGTCCGCAATAGTGAACTTGGGTCCGTAGGTTTAAGAATTATGCGGATTAATCTTCCCTGCAGTCAATATATATTGCAGATCACTATCCTTATTAGAAGGATATTGACACTCCTGTGAAAATCTATGCATGTCCACTGATCAGTCTAATAATTTGAATAATTAATTTTTATTTAATAATTCAAATTAAAGCAAATTTTAACGTAAAAATATAAGTCAAAGATGATTTTAATCTAATAATCTAAGTAAGTTAAAGTTAAATTCAATTTAATAATTCGAACAAAAGTTCCAATAATTCAAGTTCAAAACTAATTTTAATTTAATAATCTAAGTCAAAATCAATTTCTATCAAATCAAGATTATTTTTACTTCAATAATTTAAATTAAAACTAATTTCAATATAGTAATTTAAATTAAAGTC